ACAACACTTTTCTGAGGCCCCTGGTACTTTTCCCCCGGACCTCTATTAAGTCCATTCTGAAATGACAAAGTATTATCTCCAACTAAAATTCATCCAGATAAAGTCATTTAAATAATCAATGTTATAACTAAAACAATATGGAATTCAAAACTGTAAAAATATAATTAGCAATTTGAGTTTGATTATCCATCTAAAAGAAAATTATTTAATTGATATCTTCTTTATTTTTCAAGATGGCAATGATGAGATCCATGAGATCCAAGGACTTTTTTCAATGATATTTTTTTTATAATTATCAAACTACAGTCATTAAGATAGGTGGTGTGTAAAAGTACAGTTATTAAAAACAATCTGACCTGATAGGGAGTAAAATATAAATGATCAAAGCGTGATTTTGACCTCTTTGCAAGAATTTTTTCTGCTGTATCCAATCTTGAGAGCTCTTCATTGGCACTCTCTCCACGTACCCTTTTCTCAAAATCAACCATGGTTAACTCCTCCACCTCAGATATTCTTCTTTTATTGAATAATACCAAACGTGTTATCAACGTTTCAGCATACTTTACCCATTCTTCTATTAAAAGTTTAAAAGGTAAACCTCTATTTAGTTCAGTCGTCAAAATGACTTTAAAGTAACCAAATCTTCAGTAGATGGTAGTTCAATTTTTTTATTAATTTGTCTCAAACTCTCTCAATTTGGAGAGTTACATTCAATGGACAACTCTTTAACCGTGTTGACAACTGTTGAAAATTCCCTTCCACAAATATAGGAATTCAATGGTAGATCACGAAATTTCTTCTCATTAAGCTTCTTCAGAAGCCTCCCTACACTCCGTACTTTGGTTCTAATATTGTCTTTATCCTTTCTCCGTTGCTCTTCCTCTGTTCCCAGTCTGTCCAATAAATTAGATGCAAAAACACAGATTAATTCGTCGTTTTTACATATCTCTTTTAACCCTGGATTCTTAGCCGTTTCTTTAAATTTGGAAAATAAATCAACTAGTTTGCCATCTGTTTCTGGAGAGTGTAAAACACTTTGAAGCATTATTCTACCATTTCTTAAAAAGTTTCTATTACTATTTTCTGGTTTAAAGGGGCAGGATTTAGAATGTATCCATAAAGAATCATCCTTAATGAATGCCAGGCAAAGTGTTATCCTTCATACATTCATCATCTTCAATGTTATCCTTCTTACAAACATCATCTTCGATTTTATCCTTCATACAATCATCTTCTTTAATGTTATCCTTCTTACAAACATCATCTTTAATGTTATCCTTCTTACAATCATCATCTTTAATGTTATCCTTCTTACAATCATCATCATCAATGTTATCCTTCTTACAATCATCATCTTTAATGTTATCCTTCTTACAATCATCATCTTTAATGTTGTCCTTCTTACAATCATCATCTTTAGTGTTATCCTTCTTACAATCATCATCATCAATGTTATCCTTCTTACAATCATCATCTTTAATGTTATCCTTCTTACAATCATCATCTTCAATGTTATCCTTCTTACAATCATCATCTTCAATGTTATCCTTCTTACAATCATCATCATCAATGTTATCTTTCTTACAATCATCATCTCCAATGTTATCCTTCTTACAAACATCATCATCAATGTTATCCTTCTTACAATCATCATCTTCAATGTTATCCTTCATCCAATCATCATCTTTAATGTTATCCTTCTTACAATCATCATCTTCACAATGTTATCCTTCATACAATCATCATCTTCAATATTATCCTTCTTACAAACATCATCTCCAATGTTATCCTTTATACAATCATCATCTTCAATGTTATCCTTTATACAATCATCATCTTCAATGTTATCCTTCATACAATCATCATCTTCAATATCATCCTTCTTACAAACATCATCTCCAATGTTATCCTTTATACAATCATCATCTTCAATGTTATCCTTTATACAATCATCATCTTCAATGTTATCCTTCATACAATCATCATCTTCAATATTATCCTTCTTACAAACATCATCTTCAATGTTATCCTTCTTACAATCATCTTCAATGTTATCCTTCATACAATCATCATCTTCAATATTATCCTTCTTACAAACATCATCTCCAATGTTATCCTCTAAATGGCTTGTAATAGAAATATCATTTTGTATAGAACTACAACCTGGATTAACATCTTCCTTTTTAATGCCGGGAAAACTTTTATCCTCTATGATTCTTGTATCACTATATTCTAATAATGCTTTTGAAAGATCTGTTTCAAACTTCTTTAACAAACATTTTTTTCTTTTCAGTTTCTCTGTAACATAAGAATCAAGAAACCATGATTATTCCATAGGCTTCACAGGCTTCATTTAATAAACAAACTATCATCATTAAATGATATTACCAAAATTTTGTTCATAAAACAATATTCACATATACCAGTTAGAGAAAAAGAAAACATGCTGATGTGATGATGGCAATTTGAAAACAAAACATTTACGATAAAAATCTATATCGGATATGAGTCAGTGTTTGGAGCACCTGTGTCCTTAAAGGGATTGTGTCCTCTAAAGTAAATATTTACTGTATGATCGTGCTCTCTTTCTGAGCTTTCCAGCGCACTAATGGATAGATTTTTTTTCTGAGTTGAACTGTTTGTTGGTAAATGCATTTTAAAGTTTGGAGAAATGAAGACACTTCACTTCCGATGCCGTCAGCTCCACTTCATTCAAAGCACTTCTGAAAGATCTTTCTGAGCTCTATGTTCAAGCTAATTTCAGAGGGCACCATCCCATCAAAGATAGCTTGCCGGGCAAGGTAATATACGCCCACTAGCAGCTTTGATTTTGAATAAAAATATTTAGCAGTACAGTAACAATCACCAGTATGAAATATTCAACCTTCAGTCATACACTTCTTTTTAAGTCTTTAGGGTGATACTGAATAATATTGAGTATGAGTTATTGCCCTTGTTCTTGAAAACGTGTTCAATTTTTTTAGCTCGTGAAAACTCTAGAAGGCAAATATTCAATCTTCAGCGCAGAACTGAATAATAGAACCAAGATTAGTCAAACTCCAGAAAGAATCATGCCTTTTAGTGTTTAAGAGCTAAATTTGAAAGCGTTTTCAAGAACAAGGGCAATAACTCATACTAAATATTATTCAGTATAACTTAAGGAGCTATTTGGCTATGCAAAAGAAAAGATTACAATATTTAAGAAAAAACAATTAATAATAAATTTTCAACATCAATGATCAAAAATATTGAAGAAGAAAAGTAGGCGACGGCCGCTGTCTAGGCAAAATTTCCCTCATTGCACACTGCATGGCGTATGCCCGTCTTCATTAGTCCGGTTGGTGCAGAAAAGTAGGACGTTAAACCTCATTTCATTTCATTTCCAAAGAGTTCTTCAAGTTCAAAATCTTATTAAAAGCTGATAAACAGTAATCAAGAAAACCCATCAAAAATAAAAAACTCACACGTATTCTTCATCCCAAAATCTAATTTCTTCATCTGTAACATAACCTGGCCACCACACTCCACCATCCAGTTTAACCCAAACTATTTCCTAAACAAAACAGATTGTTTGAAGCTTTAATATACTAGTTTGTTTTTTGTTTCACTAATTGACTAATTCACTAATTCCTCTGCAAATTTATTTTTTTCGGGAAGGGGAATGAGAATTTGAGGTTCAATTTCAGAAGGTGTTCCAATCTAACAGAATAGTGGTTTATCGGTATGCATTAAATGACCAAAATCTATTGGTCAAACACACACTAGATCTAAAGCCTAAAAAAGAACAGAACGTTTTAATAAAACAAGAAAATTAAATTAAAACCAACCTTTGAGAGTGCCATAATCTGCCAAAGTAGCACTAGGCTAGTAGACAATAGCAGAATTTCTTTTTAGGTCTACTTGAATTTCCGATTTATCTTTTCTTTTGTTTTTTTTGCTAGAATGCAAGATTTTAATCTTAAATACTTTGAAAACATAAGTTAAGAAGGTAATCAGGTGGTGTATAAATAATATCAAACACTAAAATTATTCCTACCATTTGATCCACAAAGTAAGGCTGAAGAACAACCAATGAACATGTGGCAAATAAATCCGTTCAGGCGGCAAAATATGTAACAATCCAGCATTTCAGATAAATCAAAAAAGGCAATGAACAAAAAACCACCGAATTCAACAGTATCAAGAACATCCAAATGGAAATCACTACAAAATGCTGAGACTTGAGAATGTTCAACCTCTTCGATTAAACCAATAAATCCAACAGGCATATCCATATCTTTTTCTTGTGACAAACAAAATGGCTCACGTACCCAGGATTCTAATTCTCATGGATCTAATCGACTGCTACAATTATCGGCTTTCGATCACCTACAGTTTGATCAAATTACTATGACATTTCTTTAAAAATAAAACTGAAATAGTTACCTTCACCTAGCCTAGGAATAATTTGCTCACCTTATAACTGTAACTTGTAACTTCTAGCGTCGTCACGAGATTGTAGCCTCGATAATCCAGTATCTGGGAGAAACCTCGATTTCACATTTTTCAGTTAAGGGTTGGACAAAGGGAGGTAACTGATTTCAAACATATAAAATTTCGATTTAAAACCCGTATTATGCACTACAGCATTTTTGACATGTGGGTGCGTCTAAAATCCAAATATACCTTTTTTAAATACGGGGTGTTTTATATGCCCCACAAATTTTCACTGCCCCACAGAAAAGATCATAAAACGAAATATGCCCCGCATAAACCACAGTTTCTAAGTATATTAGTTGTATAGTTATATACATGTGTCAGAAGTTGTATGGATATTGTTAAGGCAGACACCCTTGACATGTTCAGTCCACTTCAATTTTATCTAGTTTAAAACTGAAATTCTTAACCTTGGTTAAAGTGAGGCTGTGTTCATCACTGGTTTGTTTACTTTTGATTAGTATTTATTCTACCTGGAATGAAATAGACTAATCTTTATATTTTCAGTCATCCCTGTTTGCTACACTCTAATAACATTTTCTCACAGTACAAATAATATAATACAATATAAGTATAATTAATAAGTTGGATCCATCTTAATCTAGGATCTAACTGATATATAAAAACCTTAATTTTGACCAAATTGGAAATAAAACTATTCTGAAAATAATTTTTCACTCTTCGTAAATTCAATACCTTCAATTTTTTTTTTTTAAATGATAAACAATTAAAAACCGATGAGCTTTTATTTACAATATTATATGGTAACACTTTTTTTTTTCCTTTAGTTATTTTGCACCCTTCCTTTTTAGTTAATTACTTTGTCATCATCTTCATTAAACTAAGTCAGTTTTTTCGTCATGATATCAAATATCAGAATCATCGGTTATTTCCTCATCCAATTCTTTGAATGCACCCTTTGTAATTTCTTCCTCTGGGTCTAATCTAAACAGTTTATTCTGTCCTACACACATATCTTCCAACAAGAGATCGTCTACCATGCCATCCATGGCATTCGATATGCAGCACTTTATAAAATTACAAATTGTAATGTCTGCATCCAGTTCCTTCCACGCTTTCACTATCCACTCACACATTATATCCAATTTAACTTTTCTTCTAGCTCCTGCCTTGGTGTAAGTGTGATCGCTACTGGCCACTGTGACTTCACCTCCAATGGTTGAAGGATACTAGTTAAGCCACCAGATATGATAGCTAAATCTGTGGTTAGTTCTTCTTTCAGGATATCTTTCACCCCAGAACTTCCATGACAATGGAAGCATCTAAAACCAACAAGTATTTCTTCTTGAGTATGGCACCTGGTCGTTTACCCCAAACTGTCTTTAGCCAATCTGTGGTTAAGTTATCCATCCGCCCTTTCTCCTTGCAGCGTACATGATTCCAGGTGGAAAGTTGAGGCCCCTTGGTAAAGTCTTTCGATGGAAGATTACATATGGTGACAGCTTCCCTCCATCAGCCGTACAAGCCAACATCAGCGTAAATCTGTTTTTCTCATTGTCGTACTCAGATGGACTGTTTTATCAACTTTAGTAGTTATTGTTGAAGCTGACGGGAGATTAAACGTCATTGGTATTTGTTCAGTGTTACCAATCAGGTCATATTTGTTCTTCTTTCTCTGTTTAATGATGAACTTCTGAAATTCCAACAACTATTCTTCGTAATCGCTAGGTAATTTCTGGGAAATATTGGTTCTACTGTGTGAAAGGTGATTCCGGTTCACGAATTTATAAAACTATGAGGACATAGTCCTGAAAGGGGTCTTTATCATCATCTGTTTGTGGACCTTTAAAGCTTGAATTCTAACTTCAGTGGAAGGCACTTGATGGCCCTGTTATCTTCTATCTTCGATGCTGGTCACCACCTCAGCTTCAACTTCACGGAAAAAGGCACACTTGGACGCCACACATGAGCCTCAGCAAATGCAATTACATTCAGTTTCTCCTTTGTGGTGTACACAACAGGACGACCAGCCATTTTCAAATGATGTTAGATACAAGAAACAATAAGCAAATAGAGAAAGTGAGGATGAACTCATTCTAAACCCTACTATATATCTTATTCTGTTGATATGACTTCCACACATCAAATAACTACCACAATTATTCAAAAGCCCCAGAAAAATTAGCTCTGTTAATCTTTAATTCAGTTTGAGTTAACCTACCGTAATTGAATAATGCCGTGCCTTCAATGAAAGTGTGTATACATTTATCGATTTGTTTAGCCTTTCAAATCAACATGATCAGACATTACCCTTCAATTCTCAATAACAACTCAATTATACAAACATTAGCCTTTTAAGTTGTTTTTTTAAGAAATCCCAGAGAACAGAAAATTATTTTGGTACAGCCTTAATATAAAAGAGACGATATAATTTAATAATTAATAAGTTCAGTAAATCTAAAAATCATTGCCATAAATAATGTGCACCCTGCTCTGACCAAAAACTTTGAATAATGCAGACACCATGATATTGAGTGGCAACATCACATGTTCTTACCTTACTTTGGCCTACATCTTAACTTTCTGTATAATAAACAATAATGTTGTTCTGTACTATAGACCTTATTCATGCATTTAATGTGATTCAGTTTTTAGTGATACTTTCAGATTTTTTACCTTCACACATTTCCGAGAAAGTTCAGTTTTAAGCAAAATTTTAAGCTATTTCTTATATGCACACAAATATATTTTGGGTGTTTATTGTAATCACACTGGCAGTCAGACGGTCCGTTCACATTTGGGTTAGCTCACTCTACAGGCTACAATTCTTTACAGATTCTTTTGATTTTGAATTTGTGTGTCAATATCATTATGAAGATGATCAATTTTCGTGATGATCTGATAATTTTTCACCGAAAATATCTTGTCTGACTTTTCTCTTTATTAACTGTATTATGCAACAATTTATTATGGATTAACAGGGCTCCACTGTATTTACTTCATGGCCCATTCTTGATATTTAGTAGCTAATGAAATATTCATTATTATGGTTGTATTTTATTTTACAGGAGGTGTTAGTAAATGGTGTATTTGTTCCAACAATTGATCTTTTTTCTGATCCTGATTATATTAACCAATATATAGCATGGTTGGTGAGTTCACGTTGTATTCTCATCTAATAAATCAGCTTAATTAATATGTTTAATTGTATGAAATGGAGGATTTGACTCATACTAAAAGTACAGGCCTAGTGGGTACAAGTGTAGTTGATGTTGAACAATTATACCACTCTTAGATAATTGCAGAAATTTAAACCTTGAACAATCAACATTAGCAAAAGTAGATACTTCTTAATTTAGAATATTTCAACTGACAGAAACAGTTTTTAATTCAAATATAAAATTAGAATATTTAGTTGTGGGACTTTTTATTTACAAAATGTCAAATTTTTTTTTTTTGATTTTTACACACCTTCCCGTGCTTAGTCTACAGTAGTTGCAGCAACCTTTCAACTTTCATGGACTTTCTATGTAGGCGACGATGTGCGAAAATGTAAAAAGGAACTTTTTTGCAAAACCAAAAGTGCCACAATTAATATGTGCAAAAATAGATAATTGGCTCTAGAAGTCATATTATTGGGTCGATTTTCTTTGGGTTTGCATTTTTGGAATCTACTGGCAAAATCTGAAATTTGAATTTTTTTTGCCAAATTTTACATTTTTTTTGCTTTTTGTCTGATTAATCTAAAAAAAATTGAGCAAAGACAGTTCAAGAAAGGTCAGAAATATTTATGCTGATAGGTAGACAAAGTTATGACAAAAAAACGAAGAAAAAATTGTGAAACTTTCGCCGCCATTTTGATTTTTCTGAAATGATTTGATTTTTATTCAGACAGAACGGCTTATCTGATTTCAATGATTTTGGTGTCGAATGAAAAAGATTAAAAAAAAAAACGTGACTTGATTTTGCTTTTTTGGAACTTCCGGTTGAAATTTTTCATAGTTTGAAGGGTCATATCTCGTTGTCTTGACCTTTGATGACCTTGACCTTTATTAGGTTAAAGGTCATTGACCTTGGCTATCAGTTAATGCTTTGACATTTGACCTTGACATGTACTTCCGGTTTTATAGCTGTCCAAAAACAGCCAAATTCGCAACTGCTCTAGCACGTGACCTAATTAACCTAGAGGGTTAATTTTTCTGGATTCTTAATGTGCTTTTCATGCTCTTTCAAATGATTTATAACAATGGTTTTTTGAAGCAAAATTGAAATTTGTGATTTTTTCAAATTTGAATGATTTCTTTACAATATTTGAGTCTCTTTGAGCTTGGTGTATGTATATCTTGTGACCATTTTGAACCTTGAAATTTGGAACACTACTAGACATTTTGAATATGAATTCACTTATGACAAAGAAATTGAGGTGGGCGTGGCACATCCGTGTTGAATTACCAATGGTTAACATTTAGGGGCATATAGGTATAGTATAGGATACATTTGTTCAAAAAGGGACTTCTAAGCTCAGTTGCTTCAGCTTTATAGTTCTAAAAAAGGAACAGGTTTTTAAATTTCCATATTTTCAATGTTTGATTTTGACCTTTGTTGACTTTTGTTGACTTTTGTTATCTTTTGTCCAGTATAATGTAGAACCTTGAAATTTGAAATTTGGTACACAACATAACATTTTGAATATCAATTAACTTATGTCAAATAAATGAGGTGGGCGTGGCACATCCGGGTTAAATTACTCATTATTGACATTTTTGGCCAGAGGCATAACTCATATTTTGAGCCACGTTGTCTTAGAAGTTCAGTTGTTTCAGCTTCATACTTCAAAAAAAGGAACAGGTTTTGGGAAATTCAAAATTTTCAATATTTGACCTTGACTTTTGTAAGATCAAACGTCATTGGCATTGGCTATATATTTATACTTTTATATTTGCTGTCTTATGTCAACTTCCGGTTTTATAGTCGTGTGCAATTTGAAATTTTGATGACTTATATCTCTTGACCTTTTTAGATCTTCTCCTTTACAAGATCAAAGGTCATTGACCTTGGCTATCTGCTGATACTTTCATTTGTGAGGCCTGGCATCTACTTCCGGTATCAGAATCTTCTAAAAAATGAAAATTTCTCAACTTTAGACTGTTCTTGCACTTGACCTAATTATCGTCGAAGGTTGATTTTTTTCGGGGTTTGCAATTTGCTACAGTAGCAAAGTCTCACTCTGTGCCATGTGTATTTGAATCTCATAACTCTTCAATTTTTGAATAATTTTGAAGAAACCTTTCGCTTTGCCTACAAATTTGTTAAATAACATTTTACTCAAAGCAATAAATTGACCTTTTTTTTAGAATTTTTATACCCAATTCATGATTTTAAAAAGAAATTTATAAACTGAAATATCTTGAGTTCTTTCATTGTTTATTCTAGTGTCAAATTGAGTCATTTACTAAAGAAAGTTTTTTATCTGTGATTAAAAGTAGTGATTGTATGGATGAGTTGGAAGCTGTTAAATTAAAAGTTGAGGGTGATATGGCAAAATGGAGAGCCAAGGACGGTGGAGGACATGATGGTAAGTGTTAAAACACCAATTTATAGAGCAAGTGTATTTTTTAAAGTGTTGTATCAATTTATCCAGTTCAATTGATAGCCTCTGACAACAACAAGAAATTTTAATTTGTAGGAGCATGACTTCATAAAGGTTATTGTATCTACAAACATATTCCCAAAATAAGAACTAACCTTGACTATAACTATAAACAATGTTATCTAAAGAGGTTTTAGTTTGTAAATAAATACCAAGGTAATGGGGATCTGTATTGTATTTGTATATAATATATTCCTTAGAAACTCATTTCATGTTATAAACCTCTAGTGATGCCATTATATTTCATAAAATGCCTCTCATATAAAATCCTGAGGTAATTATCTATACTGACTCCAGAAGGCGTTATCAAAATATATAGTCTAGGTAGATACAAGTTCATGTTTGTTAACTCCAGTAGAGGCTATCTGGTGCAACTTGTGTTCGAGCAATGCATTGTAATCGGTTTTAAGGGGAACCTGGACGCTTTGGTTTACTTTCTCTGACAAAATACTGCAAAACTTTGCAGCACAAAGTTATGGTTGATAATGGAGAGAATCCAAGATTAATTGTCAAACGATAAAAGTTTAAGTCTAACTTACTGGTTGATGAACTGACAGAATCTTGAAGTTGAGCTGATGAGTTGTGGCCGTTATTTCCTTATCTTTCCAAACAAAAAAACCAACTAGTTTGAAAGTCAGATGAAAGACTTTCTATCAAGGTTTTATGATTTTTAAAAGCCTTTCCCTTGGAAAATCCCTCAGGATGGTGATTTGATATATCATAAAAACTCTCCACTGTGTTTTATTCTGTACTTATTTCAATTACAATTTCTCTATAAGTTCTTTGTTATAAAGTTATAAACTATAATTTAAAATTCTTGCTGCTGTCCATCTTATAATGTTCTTGTAAAATATATCTGTATACTCTTGTTTTGAAATGATATTTTTCAGATACGTTAGTGAAACAGAATTTAAATAGTTTAAGATTTGTGAAAGAAACCTATTTAAGTAGAATAAAACGGCTACAAGAAGGTCCTGTAGATAATGAGCTATTAACAGAGGTAGATAAGAACTCATTAAGTATAAATTAGTTACACAAGGCTTGAAGCACCTTGACAATTGAATTGGAAGTCAGCATTAATGACTTAAATTGTACCATTTCATTGTTGTTTTGATTGTGAGGCAAGTAGAACAGTAGTGAATATGGGTTGTGTATTTATTTTAAATGCATGGTTGCAAATCATTCAGATGATGTTCGTTATTGGGCAATTGTTTCATATTATATTCGTTCAAATACAATGATAAGTCTTAGGTTTCCACCAGTTCAGTAAAGCATAGAATATAGATATCACTCTTTACATTAATACAGTTACACTTTGCAGGCTGTAGCAAGAAAAAAATACTTTCCGTAAATCATAAAATTATGGAACTTATTGGACTGCTTGCAACACATAATAAATCAGTTAACAAATATAGTAATCTTAAATCACAATAACAAGAAGAATATTGAATATGTCTTAAAGAAACACTGTATGTTATGAATATTGATATTTTTGTATTTCTCTTTTCAGGAGTCTGAATTTTTAAAGTGTAACAATTTATATATATTAGATCTACATGATGTAATAGATAATAATATTGCTCTTCAAACATTCATTGGTAAGATACTACTCTTTATACACCACTTTCAGATCAATAGTTCTTGATTTTATTTCAACTCTTGATTTGATTTTATTTCAACATTTGAGAAAGTTTATTTTGATTTGATGTTGTTGAGTTATAATATATAAATTATAAATTGATGAGATAATAAAATATTTTCAGTACAATGTATTAATTGTAATCTTTACTATATATTCCTTACTATCAACACCAATACAAATAACCCCTGTTATATGTTGTTTCCAATGTAACTTAATGTTTTTGAGTGTATAACAGATATCTGAATGGAATGGTTATGACCATCACATCAAATCAAATAGCCTATCAAATTTTGAATTGGAGATCTCTGCTCTCTTATCATTAGAAAAAATTAAAAATTTAAGATGGGTTGATTTTTAGAAAGGTAACTAGACATAAAGTAGGTTTGTTTGAAGACCATCTATTGTTAACTAACTTCTGGGTATTCAGAGTAAAACAACCCAATGGTGGAAGTTGCTTCTTGGCTAATCTTAGCTAATCTTGGCTATAAACTCTCTGCTACAGCTCTAATACTTAAATCCTGAAATGAAAAGTGTTTTTTAGACCCAAAATAACTGTATGACTTCAGATTAAACCTGGCTATATGTTACTTTAAGTTGATTGAATGATTAGTCTATTTTGTAATAAACAATTAAAATTCTGAATTTTTTTAACAACAGAGTTGTTGAGATTATTATACAATGTCATAGTTATTGACAAAAGTTAAACTTTTTTTTTACATTATTTTTACGCTCATTGTAAATTGTTCCACTTTAAAGGTCATGGGTCTGAATATTTTTTTTAAAAAGAAGTTGTGTTTTTTCATTATAAGAAGAATTCCCTACAGGAATAGATTAGAGTACAATTTTATTTTTAGAATTCATGACAAGTAAAGGTAGTCAGCAGATTTTATTCTTTTATTTGAATGTTGAGGTAAGTTCTATTTCAATATTTTGTCCATTTTAAGATCCAATAGTTTAAAAATAATGGGGTGAGGTCGAAAACTTGTACATCACAGAACAAATTTCTCTGAATTTTGTAAGGCCCAAGTTGTCTATCTACCAGGCCAAGGAATCTGGTCCTACCTGTTCATGTGATATACAGATGGGATATCAATACATTTAATTAGGGCCATATATAAAATGTACTTTTCTATTGCTATGGTCTTCCTTTCTGTGTACAACCCTTCCCTTCCTACACCTTGACTGTATTGTTGTACCATGTTGGACACATACATATAAAAATGTATTGTAGAAGACAATAATGAAGTTCTGTACAATTTCTCACCATATAAAGTATTTAAGTAATTGTTTAACAGAATGTTTTGTGTAGCTTTTTATCAAAATAATGCTCCAAAACATCTTTCAATGAAGATTTTTTTAAAATTTTTAATTTTATAGCTTAAAGCAATAAATAACAATGACTAACAGAACAAACAATTAAACCAGTAACTAAGACTTGTGTATTTATTCATTTTAGGGATTTAGGACAGCAGCAGAACAACAGATATCTGAAGCCCTCAAGTCCAGTTCCAACAAAACACTAGAACCAGATTTACAATCATTACGCAGGGCTGCTATGATAATTTATGATCAGTATTTATCAGAGAAGGTAAACTATACATGTTTTATTAACACTGAACTCTTCAATCATATTATAGTTCATGTCATTCTTGTTATCATTCTTGTTATCATTCTTGTTATCATTCTTGTTATCATTCTTGTTATCCATCAATGCAAGTTTAAGAAATATTTGAATTTTTTCAGGCCACTATGAAAATAAAACTGCCATCAGATTTGGTCAAAACCACATTACAAAATATAAAGAATAGAGTGTTATCAGAAGATGTTTTTGATAATGTGCAGACACGGGTAAGTATACAGTTTATAACACCCACCTGTCATATTACCTGACATCTTGAACAACAGAAAGCGTAATAGTGCCAAACATATTTTTTTCAAATCCGACTTAGTAACTCGAAAATCTCTGACTTACTAACTTGAAAATCCGACTTACTAACTCGAAAATGTGCAACACATATTTTTTTTTTCAAATCCGACTCTTGAACTATAGAAATCAGATATTAATTATAATTATGTCAGAAATCAAGAATAAGAGACATACACATTGAATTTGTCATTTAGAAATAATTTAATCTACTTAATGGAAATGTAGACATATGATAAAGGCTACAGTTTTTATCCAATCTTGATGAAACTTGTTATGCATGTATATATTGATGAGATCTTAGTAAAGTTTGAATTTGATAATAATCGGATGAACTGTTTTAGAGTTATTGCTCTTAACTTGGTAGAAACACATCAAATTTGTTGAAAGTTGGTATACCTGATATATATTCATGCTGTACAAGTCTTATATGTAGGAGTATCTCATGCTGTACAAGTCTAATATGTAGGAGTATCTCATGCTGTACAAGTCTAATATGTGGGAATATCTCATTCTGTACAAGTCTAATATGTTGGAGTATATCATGCTGTACAAGTCTAATATGTAGGAGTATCTCATGCTGTACAAGTCTAATATGTGGGAATATCTCATTCTGTACAAGTCTAATATGTGGGAGTATATCATGCTGCACAAGTCTAATATGTGGGAGTATCTCATGCTGTACAAGTCTAATATGTGCGAGTATCAATTCTAATATGTGGGAGGTATTCTATGCTGTACAAGTCCAATATGTACGAGTATCTCATGCTGTACAAGTCTAATATGTACGAGTATCTCATGCTGTACAAGTCTAATATGTGCGAGTATTAATTCTAATATGTGGGAGGTATTCTATGCTGTACAAGTCTAATATGTACGAGTATCTCATGCTGTACAAGTCTAATATGTAGGAGTATCTCATGCTGTACAAGTCTAATATGTGGGAGTATATCATGCTGTACAAGTCTATATGTCAAGTATCTCATGCTTTACAAGTCTAATATGTGCGAGTATCTCTTGCTGTACAAGTCTAATATGTACGAGTATCTCATTCTGTACAAGTCTAATATGTACGAGTATCTCATGCTGTAGAAGTCTAATATGTAGGAGTATCTCATGCTGTACAAGTCTAATGTGTGGGACTATCTCATGCTTTACATGTCTAATATTTAGGAGTATCTCATGCTGTACAAGTCTAATATTTAGGACTATCTCATGCTGTACAAGTCTAATATGTGGGAGGTATTCTTTGCTGTACAAGTCTAATATGTGCAAGTATCTCATTCTGTACAAGTCT